TCTTTGATCAACTAATTGATAAACACTTTTGAACTTGGGTTTAAAGTTATAATGCACGTTTTCTTTGCATGCCAATGATTATAATTTAATTTATTCGTTTAAATGAATGACAAAATTTATTTACTTTTCACTTTTTAAAAATAGAGTGCGTTACCTGCACATTTTTCTTGAAGATAACTTCAATTCACAATTCGAATGCACTGACACGAAGTGAAGACTATTTTTAAACTAATAAGTACAACTTTTGATAGTTATGCTACGCAATGACACTCAGTAGATTCTTTACCCCCCTTGGATTATTCTGAACAATATATCGATTTATAAATTACAAATTACATAATTCTTATGAAACTTCATAATTTGAATCCGAGAACAAACAATTATTATAATCTGATCTTTAAATCTGGACCATTTCAATTACCATCGATAAAAAATTATTTACTATATAGTCGATATTAATAAAAGCTTTAAATCGAACTATATTATTTAACATGTATATTAAATAACTATTAATTCTTTATAAAACATTTTTGTTTGATTAAAATAATTATTTATAACTTTTGTTTATAATAATAAACGAAAGTTGCCAATCTTTATTGTAATAATATTTCGAAAATTACTTTGAATAGATTTATTAATTTGAATATTTGATAATATATCAGACAAATTGTATTCACTATGATAAACAGTAATTTATTATTAATTATCGCATACAATTTTAAATAATATGTTTTAAAAGATATCTGATTTAAAATTGTTTTTTAGTGACTAATATTGTAGCATACACTATAACTAAATCTAATTAAAATGAAAAACTGTATTTATTTTATGGCATTTGAAACATGAATTATCCAATAAAGATAATATAATAAGATTCATCTAGAATAAGTTTCATTTATATTTTTATTTAACTATTGATAAAAATTTTTATCATCCATTAGTCGCCGTCCGTTCGGTTTTTACAACATGTTATTTATTGAGTTTATTGATGGTTAAACAAGTATTCAATTGTAGAAACATTGTGTTAACCTTTTTTTTACTTTTAAGGATTTCAATGTGTGCGTATATTTCCGTTCAATAAAAATTGATTCGATGACATTACAATTGTTTCCTAATAGTTTGGTTAAGTTTTATGATCTATTGGATCAGATGTCGTTTGAAATGATTATAAATTAATTGTAATTATAAATTGTCAAATGACCAAGGTATGAGTAGAAGTAGCTATAATATGGTCGCTATGAAAATCAGTAGATGAACTAAAGTTTCTAGAAAAATTAGTTATTTTATAGAACAAAATGACAAATTTGGATTTTTTTGACGTGTGCAGAATAAAATATTTTAAGAATAAGTTTTGAAAAAAATTTTTTTAATTCTTTAATTATAAGAGATTATTGGGTTTGACAAACACATCAGCAGTATATTGTCAACAAGCAAAAACGTATTCAGAAATTTAATGTACGCGTGCTAATGTGCTACTGCTAATTTTTATTTTTATTTTGATAGTCTTTTTTTTATTTTACTTAACAAAAAATTTTCCTTTGCATTGCTAATCACCAAAATATAGATCAGCAAAAAAAAGAATATCATGTGTGACTAAATCTAATGTCGTCCGGAGCGATCGCCTTCTTTGACCCATCATCCCTAAGGGTCTTATATAATATACTTCTCCATCAACAAGTATGTCTTGAGAATTTATTTATGAGTCTAGTATTTTTAAAGATAATAAATGACAAGTTTAAAACTTTTCTTGTATCGTTTAAATATTTATCTACATTTTTCGTAGAAATTAATGAAAGCTTTAAGAAATTATATTTATTTGAATTTTTCTACGAATAGACATGAAAATTTATTGAGTTTGTATTCCAGGGCCAATGTTTTTAAATGTTGGTGTTTACATCAATTAAAATTAAACACAAAGTTTTTTTTATAGAAAATCCCATAGAAAATATATACCATGATATTCAGAAGTCTGATCTGCTAAATATGTTTGAACTTTTTCAAATCAAATTCAGCCTTTAGACAGTCTTATCTGTTACATTTGCTGTAATAAATGTTTGAATTGATATAAATTTCCATTCTATAAAAAGTAAATTGAATAAAAATGCAATGAAGTGAAAGTCATTAAGAAATAATTTGCAGTTACTAGTATGGATGATGTTCAAATATAGACTTAGCTTTCTAACTTCTTGTACAATTTTTCTTCATTATTAATGACTCATTAATATTGCAGTTTTACGATTTTAGTTAGTCATAATTTAGCATGGTTAATTTCATTTTTTAATTATTTGATAAATATTTGGCTACATTTTGATATTTTTGATTAGTATTCAAATAAAAGGTTAAAATATTATAATTTTAGTTACTCGATTGGTAAAAAACCTATTAAATTGGTTCTAGTTAAAATGGTATACGTTTTATTTACATTGACATAAACATGTCATGAATAACGTGGCAAAACGGGAAGGAGAACGTTTACATAAAAAATAACATATGCAAAATATTCCCTTAGTTACTACCTAGTGCACATGCCTTTTTCGACTGACATTGTACTATTTCCGAGCGAATAAAATTAACTTGAAATTTCAGTAATTTTATGGAATGCCTAGATGAGATATTGTTTCAATTATTATGCAATTATTTAAAACATGTTTTTTTTAAGTTTATTTTTAAATGATATCAAATTTAATATCAGAATAATTCTAAATTATTATGTCATATTTAAATTAAATATTAAAACAAAACGTTGATTGTTTTGATTCAAAAGATATTTTCTCGTGGCAATGACCATGTAGTGTCTACACTACCTATCGGCTATGTATAACAAGGATCTCATAAAAAATAATTAATTGTTATTTTGATCCTGATACGACGACCTATTGAACCGTTTTAATTAGATTTTGATTTAATTTTTATACCGACTTTCGTACAAGTATTGTTAACTTAATAAATAAAATAATAAATGAATTTTAAGACAAAAGTTCAGCATTGATGATATACTTTATTAATAAACCAATTTGAATTCAAATGATATTTGAATGCATACTATATATAGATAAATTTTTACTTTTATTATATAAAAATATTGTTGTAAAAAATTGAAACATTTTGGTAGTACTGTCGGTGATTACACGTCATTCATTATAAATGTATTAAAGGCGTGTTTTTTTAATGACTACATTTTGTTAGTGGTATCGATATCTGGTAGCACCATTACAATTTAATCAGTAGTGTGTAATGAATAAATACCAGATATCTGATTAAATCACAACTGAAAAAACTATTATTATATAGACTTTATATTATTATATTTCTATTAACATTTATTTGTTTAAGAGTATCTAAATATTTTACATTTTATTTTACCGCGAAGTATAGTTGACATTATACATAAAGTAAGGTATGAGCTAATTACAATTATTAAAAATTACCATCGTGAAAGGATTTTTTCAACATGTGTTGTTTTTATCAACATAGTCATCGAATAAGCGTACAATTGTATCTGCATTAATTTTATATTCCATTATTAACTATTACACTCTTAAATGATTCTCGTCTTTGATACTCATTTTACCACTGGTATCTATTCTGTGATGATCTGTATTAATGATAATATTGAGAAAAAATAAGCCTTTGTCTATAATTATTTGCCTTCAATATGAATTTTACAATGTCAATTTCATCAAAAGTTGTAAGTATTTTATCTAATTTTTTCAGCATTTTTTGTTGAGCTATGTAATTAGTTTGCTACTTTATTATTATTTGTTACCACTTTATAAATTATATCACAAATTTAATTAAGGTGAAAATTTGACAAAAATATTTAAATCTACTCTATTAGTATGATTTTTTTATTATTAGTAAAGATTTTCTTATAAATTATTGAACGTACAAGTATTTGACTTGTATATCATGACTTAAACCTTTTGTGTTTTGAAATTGTCATATAGATTAATTTCTATGTGTCACACAAGTCCCTACGCCCTACGTGTTAACAGTGTCTGAGTTTGGGATTAGATCACGTTTTCTTTTTTACGAAGTGTTCATGGAATTTCGCTGTGTGCTGCGTACATAGCCATGTAAGTCGTTATGAAATAACATAACTAAGAAAAACATAATACATATGATATCATATAATTCAATTTGACTAACTTGTTAGCTAGAAAACACCTTTCTATTATTACATTTAAATTAATATTTTATTAATTGTGGTTTTGAGTTATAGTAGTTTTTTTATTGGCCTCTACAATTGTTATTAGTACCAATAAGTATTATTGATGCATACTCTTATTTGTCTTCACTTAACTCAAAGTTGACTTAGAATTGAGTAAAATTTAACAGCGTGAACTATATTCGATTAGTGAAAATGTCAAACGTTTTATATATCAAGAAAATGTTCATTTTGTGGTATTTAGAACGTTTGTTATTTTCATTTTTCAATAACATAATTCGTTTATAACTTGATAGTATTTGTTAGCTTATTTTTATCATGAAATTATATGTATTTCAATTAAATGTTCAACATTTTATGGTAGACGCAAATGAATGTGATTAGAATGAAGCATCATTCTACATCATTAATGATTGATAAAATTTTATTTCATATCAACATGGTTATGTGTTGACGCAGAAATAATTTAATAATTGAGATGGATATTCATTCATCACATTTACGTCAGTTTTATTAATAATTAATATCTAGTCAATACGTTAATCTATTGAAAAATAATAAATTTGAATCCAAGTATCTCTTGTGTAAGAGATGTATACAAAAGGTTTTATATTTGTATTTTTAAATTAAAAATAGTTAAACACCACCTACCCTTCATTGTAATTGTATTTGTTGGTATGTTTTGTATTGTTTTAAAATAGAATTTATTTTTCATCATTTTTTCTCGAACTTATTTACATGATTTTGTGACAATATACCAAATAATAATTTTTTCAATGATGTTAAATGTATTGGGTATTTTTTTTCATAAGATTTTTTATACATTTTTTAGCTGCAAAACAAACGCGAATTATTTTTCAAGAATGATTCATCGAACGGCACAATTAATACAGGTTCACCGTCTCCAGTTCAGGCCAACGTTAACTCCAACACTCCAGTTTCTAATTCATTACCGCACCAAAACTCATTCAGTAATTCAATGTCTAATCAGAGTGCAAGTTTGCCACCTTCTGGCTCAATGAACAAACGAATACCGATTGCAAAATGTATGTTATTTTTTCAGCATAATATTGATGAAATTGTTCATTTTATGCAACATAATATAATTTAAACTGTTATGTTATGTTAAGTTTTGATTAATTATTTTTAGCCGAATCTACGGATTCTTCGGACAGCAAAGAAAAACCTGTCAAAACTGAACAAACAACTGTATCAAAAACAAGTGAGAGGAAAGTGAAGAAACTAGATGGTTATGTTGGATTTGCCAATCTACCAAATCAAGTTTACAGAAAAGCTGTAAAAAAAGGCTTTGAATTTACATTAATGGTTGTTGGTAAGTTATCACTGAATCTTAAATATGTTGTAACTTGGTTTTATGATTTTCATTCTTAGTATTAAAATTTCTACTAACAATTCCTTTAATAAATAATTCAATGTTAATTTTTTAAATTTCAATATTCATTTATTATGTTTTCTATACATAATAATTAAACAAATATTATTTTTAGGACGATCTGGTCTTGGAAAGTCAACTTTAATAAATACTATGTTTCTTGCTGATATTTATGGTAAAGATCATCCGGGACCTTCTCTACGGGTTGGTAAAACTGTAAGAGTAGAAACTAATAGATGTTTATTGAAAGAGAAAGGTGTGAATCTTACACTAACTATTGTGGACACCCCTGGTTTTGGAGATGCTGTTGATAATTCCGATTGTTGGCAACCTGTGCTTGAATATATTGAATCCAGGTATTTATTATAAATATTTTTAAAGACATTCTTTATAAAATATATCTATTTAGGTATGAAGAGTATCTTAATGCAGAATCAAGAGTCAACCGAAAAGTCCAACATGACAGTAGAGTTCATTGTTGTTTATACTTTTTAGAGTCAAATAGTCATGGAATGACACCTTTAGATGTAGAATTTATGCAGAGATTACATGATAAAGTAAATATTATACCAGTTATATCAAAAGCAGATACAATGACTCCGAATGAAGTCACAGAGTATAAAAAACAGGTATGTTGGTTATGTTATTTTTCTAAAAAATGTTAAAATTTAAATCTACAGAAATAAACTATGTTATATAGATAAAGATCAATTATTAATATAATAAAATAAATAGTAATTATATTGATAACTTTTAAATTATTAAAATACATTAAACAGAATTTATTAAATTAAGAAAACAAGTTCTAATTACATAATTGAATTAACAAATTTTTGATTAATTTATACTTAAATCTATGCGGTCAATGGTATATGTATGTATACTATGATATATTTTATTAACAATGACGTCCGAATTGCATCCATTGATTTACCTTTTGATTTCTTTTTGTTATTTTATTTTTCGACAAACCGACATGTTCACTTTAAATTATTAAATGATTTTTTTATATCAAATTTCCAACAACTCGATATCACAAACGATTGTTTTTATGGTTATATTACATTACACAAATAAAAAACAAGACAAAATTAAATATTGTATTAATTACATTATCTTAATAAAAGTGACTGCATATTATAGCATTTCTAGTATTTCCAATGTGTTTATCACATCTATTGGTGGATCATTATCACACAACTGGCTGCTATTATTTTACTGAGCATAACTTCATGGTGTATGTGCGTTTATATTTTTTTCTATAAAATATAGTAAAGATTAAAGTTTCTATTTTTTTTTACTAAAATATTAAAGCGTAAAGAATTAATTTGAAAAAGATACAACATGTATGATTAATTTGTTTTAATAATAATTTATTTTTTAATAATTATTTATGTTTTAAATAGATTTTAAATGAAATTGCTTTGCATAAAATCAAAATTTACGATTTTCCGGATTCAGATAAAGAAGAAGATCGAGATAGTTTGAAAAAACTTAAATCCCGAGTACCATTTGCAGTAGTCGGTTCAACTGAAGTTCATGAAGTAGATGGTAAAAAAATACGAGGCCGAAAATATCCTTGGGGTCTTGTTGAAGGTATACATTGTAATCATATAATTTAATAAATACAAATATTAATTTATAAATACTTTCATTAATATCTAGTGGAAAATCTGGAACATAATGATTTTGTTGCCTTAAGAAATATGCTCTTAAGGACACATTTACAAGATTTAAAAGAAGTGACTAGCAATGTTCATTATGAAAACTTTAGGTTTAGAAAGTTAGCTTGTTTCTCTGCAGATGGACCTAAAGGAATGACAAAGTGAGCGTTAAAAAATATAGAGATTTTTGTGTGTTACTCATGTCAATAAGTACAACATTCTGCCTTTAAAATATTGGGCAACATCTATTTCTGATTTATTTGGTTAATTTTTGGATGAGACCAATATATAATGAATGATAATATTAATTTTTTCTCATATTTTAATTGCAACTTCCCTAATAATTTTTATTTTCTATATTGTCTGCATGTGCTTTATTTGTTTATTTACTTTCTCAATACTTTTTTTAATTCCATTATAATATTAATATTAATTAAAATTTTATCACGTTATAAAAAATAAAAATTAGACTAGTATAATTCTATGTTGATATATATTTGTAGAATTTGAGTTTTTAGTTGCTTACATTTAATATTTTACTTAGTAATCTACTTTTATATTTTAATATAATGATTAAACAAATTATTATTATTTTCTTACACACTGACCCAGTTCGTGCGCCCCAGGAGTCATCAACAATTCATTCGTTGCTGTTTGGTAAGTTCCTGTTACTAATAATCATCAAAAAAATATCTTCTCATCCAAAAAGTAGCCTATTGAATTAGAGTATTGGATTTATTTATTTTTGTGCCATGTGTACACTTAGTAATAATTTTAGTTTTATTTATGTAAAATTTTTCTCTCCTAAAGGAATCCATTAGCACAAATGGAAGACGAAAAGCGTGAACATGATGCTAAATTAAAAAAAATGGAAGCTGAAATGGAACAAGTTTTTGAAATGAAAGTTAAAGAAAAAAAACAAAAACTAAAAGATTCTGAAATTGCTGTAAGAAAATAGTTATATTAGAAATAGATATTTCAATTAATTTTGGTCTTTGTATGAATAATAGCTCCAACAAAAGAATGAACAAATGATGAAAAGGCTAGAATCTGAAGCAAGTGAGTTAGATGATAGACGACGCCAATTGGAAGCTGAAATTAGAGAATGGGAAAATAGTAGTGGTGTTAGCCTAGATGAACTAAGAAGACGATCTTTAGAAAGAGAGTATGTTTATTTATATTAAATACACTACAATTTTATTAAAAAAAATGTTATGAAGTAAAATATTATTTAAATTAGTTCAATTTTTAGTATAGTTTATAATTATTTAATTAATTTTTAATTTATGATGTTGAACTACATTATTTTATTTCCTAGAACAACTGATGGCAAGGAAAAAAAGATTAAGAAGAAAGGATTATTCTGAAATAATAATGTGCCATGTTTATAGTATCCTATAAAATTTCATTGACTGTAAAATAATGACCAAGTTGTATAAATTGGGTATAATCTCGTTTGAATGTAGCTTTGTATATAGATTTATAAAATATTTGCTACTGCCAAACTTGTTACCGATAATGTGTATTATTACACATCTACTAAAATATTATAAAATTATGTTATAAAATATATTCATAACAATTTTTTTGATAACCATAGTCCTAAGTGCATATTTTCAAATGTTATTATGTAGTATAACTTTTATTTTATAAATTACATAAGATTAATTTAAATTTATCATTAAAAAACAAAATCAAACCGTAGATTTTCAATATTCCTTTTTATTTGATAATTTGTGTAATCAAATTTTAATATTTACAAAATGCTCATTAATATTACTATCTAATTTTAAATATATATATTTATATATATTAACATATTTTTAAATAAATATTCAGAAACAATAAACAAAATATATAAAAGAATCTCAATTATGAATTGCTTTCATAAAATTTAACATTTAATGGGATATTTTATTTAATATATATTATATAATAGTAATATATAAAGTATATGATGTATAATTCTCTTGTATTTGTGTTTCTTTATGTAAAGGGTCTTCTTTATTCCTGAATTAAATTAGTATTTGTGTAAAGGCTTAAAGTTTTTTTTATTTTATCATATAATAGTAGTACTTATTATTATTACTTAGATAAAAAAAAACATTATTTTTCTGTACTATCATGAACAAAAAATGTAAATCTTCCATAATGCTCAATATTTTTGGTTCAAATAACTTAAATTTAATTATTGTTTAATTTCATTTGTGAGTTATTCAATGCCCTAAATATGTCCATCCAATAGAATTAACTTAACACTTAAATATTTTTTGTGTTTCAAATATATTTTAATTGCTCTTATGTGGAGATTTAAAACAAGTATTTTTTCCTTTTTATAAAAACACATTTATTTCACTTTTTCTTAAGTATCTCTTTGAGGATACAAGTCATTATCATTGTTAATTTTTGACTATATTTTAAAATGTATTATTAAATAATTTTAAAATCTTTTTATAATTAACTTTTATAGTCATAGTACGAATGTATTTGCATGAGTAACCATTAATGAATTTTTTTTACTGTTTTAATGTTCATTTTAATCATCATAATACATTTTATGATTATTTTTTTATCATATATAGAGTATACATTAATATTAGTTTTTATTGTTTTGATCATATTATAATGAATCTCGCTATTTATTTTTAGGGCTCAATTATTATATTTTTTATTAATTATAATGTAATCTACCATTTTTTTAAGTATATAACTATTATAAAAAAAGACATAATTCACAATTTACTTAAGTTTTTTAATTTTAAGAAATTATGAAATTGATTGGTTAATATATTTTGTGTAATATAATTATTTGAAAATGTGTACTTAATAAATATTTTTTTTTATCATAAGAAAAATGAACAAAGTTTAGAATTTTACTAAAACAGATTTTTTGTTTTGTTTTTTGTTTTTTTTTTTAAATATAAAACAGTTAGACCAATAGTCAATATGACAAATGTTTTATGCTAAAAATTTTTTTAGTACTGTAAATTAAGTGCTGGTTTAATAAAAAATTTTTTTGTTTAATGTTTAAATATATTTTAATTGAATTTAATGTTTTAACATTTAAACAATTAGATTTTTATGTTTAACATTAAAAGGGTTCGAAACATAATTCACTAGCATAAACAGTTTTTTTATAGGGGTAAATGACTACTTTTTTCTTAGACAGGATTTTGTTAAATATTACGTTTTAAAATAATTTATGTTAAAAACACAACTTTTATTGATATAGCATAATTTTGGATTTTTATTTACATTTTGACAACATTTAAATGTTATAACATTTTTATATGTTATAATTATAACGTTATTCATTACGTTTTCTTATCCTGCTATTAATATACAACAATTAAAATACAGTACACTTTTATAAAAAAAATAGTTATTTTTGACATATACAAATACGCCAGGCAATAGAATTTTGACAATCAAAACATATACCGAAATATAGTTACGAACATATAGAATATGTATTAGGTATAAAAGACCTTTCATTTTACGACACTTTTTAGATATTTTCATAACGCACGCTTACAGATATGAATGTATCTTATATAAAAATCGTTTATTATTTAATTTTTTAAAGAAATAATCATAGAAGATACTGCGAGGAACTTAGTAATAAATAAATTAAAATAGACAGTTGAATAATAATTTTACTGACTTATAAATTATACTTATAATGAAATTTTTGTCTTAAAATTATGTATATTTTAGGTAATTTTTTTTTTGAACTGTTGTTTGAAACAAAAGCATTAGCAATCTTTTTTTTTACTTCAAGTGACACATTATCTTAAACAAATGCAAAACCTATTGCTTCTTCAGACATATACCATAAATGGTTGCAGAATTTTTTTGAAACTACTTTTGAAATATCTGGCATAATCATAGGAATGCACATCTTGTATATTCGTATCTGTAAACGTTCGTTGGATATAATGTAATATTCGTAAATATGCTAATTTTGATAATTCGACAAACGTGTATTGATAATAGTGTATTTTGTAGTTTTGATGGAAAAAGTAATAGGTTTAAAAAAAATTTGGAAGTACAAAACATATGAAAACTTTTTCAATAATTTATGTCCTGTGATTTTTGTGATAGCTTATTTACGAGTTATATGCAAAACTATCCTTATTGTTTAAATTTTAACCTATCTAAGGACCACCCTAATATATATAAATAAAGTTATTTTTGAACCTCGAAAGAAAATGGTTTCTTATTGTTTTTTTAGTGGCATGATATAATGAGATAATTAGTTAATTAGTTGCTGTTAATTAGTACTGTACTATAAATANAATATATATAAATAAAGTTATTTTTGAACCTCGAAAGAAAATGGTTTCTTATTGTTTTTTTAGTGGCATGATATAATGAGATATATCTCATTGGGTGTAATATTAAGGGAGTATAAAATTATATTGGCTAAATTTTAATTAAAAAAATATTTTTTGTAATTGAATTTCCTTATAAAATTTATAAGTAAATTATAATTTCCTTTAAAATATTGTTTTGTCACTTATCACAAGATACTCGAGAATTGTGATACCTCAATTCCAATCACAATTTCGTTCCAAAAGTTAAGAGAAATTATGAAATATTTTTTGAAAAATGATGGAGATGGAATGAACAGTAATTTTAACTTTATTTGTTTCGTGGCATAGGTAGTGTATATGCACCCAGAGAAAAACCTCGATCTATATAATAAATTCATTGTTCAATTTGATAAATATATCATTACTATTGAATCTATGATATATTTATCAATTTGATAATTTGTTTTCTTGTCTTGAACAATAATTATTTATAAGAATAATTATTTTGTTCGTATTAATAAAACATTATCATAAACCCTTGATAAAATTTCTCTATCAAAATTGATTGAGGTTTTTCTTTGAGTGTGAGGTATTTTTTCTTTTTTCTTTTATTCTATTTTAAACGATTCCTGATTCATTAATTTTCTCAATTACCCTTTGAATAGTAATTAAGCTAGGGAATCACGATTAATTAATTTAAGAACTATTTGTTAATATTTTTTATTGATTTGTTAGTTTAAAAACACTTACAAACAACAAAATTTAAAAGGTTGATATTAGAAAAATTGTAAGAAGAATAAAATCTTGTGAGTATTTTAAAATATCAGTTTTTTCAAATATTATGGGTGTTGGTAAAAATTTTTTTGGGCTCACGCTAAATATTATTTTCCTGTTCTTAAAAAATTTTCTAACGATTTTTAAAAATATTTTTGGGGAAGTTTAATTTAAGGACGGGAACTCTGTTTCCTTTAAAATATGGCTTTCGTATACTAATTTTTAGTAGATTAGAAAGTATAAAATATAAAAAATTATTCGTAGTTTTCAGAATAAAAAGTCCTTTAGTCAGGTCAAAATTTACCAAAATCTTAGAGGGACTAGAATTACTCACCGGAGACGGTCGCGAGTACATTCTACTTTTCATTGTACTTATCTGATTTAGGTATTAAAAAACGGTCTTTTTCAGTTACGTAGACGTTGATAATGTGATACAAGCATAGACTAATTTACAAAGTACATTAGTAATAATAATTTAAAATTATAAATAGTGTCTTATCAAATGTTGATGAATAAAATTTGATTTTTGTTTGACTACTTTGTTTAATACACAAGCGGATGGCATACAATCAGATACTCTGGTGGTCATGTGAAAATAAAGCGATTTAACCGCTGCAAACTATCGGAATGTCAGCGCCCTTAATTAACTATAAATATTGCTCAATACAATTTCAGGGTTATTAAAAAATATATATAGTTTAAAAAACTAAAAAAACACGCTTTTAAAGCACATCGAACTAAAAAGTTAAAAATAATTTTTAAAATAATTATGAACAAAAAATACTAGTATTATTGTGATAAAAGCGTGGGTGCTTTGTGCCATATTTTTCGTATATTGAGCGCCCCACGCTTTTATCACAATAATACTAGTATTTTTTGTTCATACTTATTTTAAAAATTATTTTTAACTTTTTAGTTCGATGTGCTTTAAAAGCGTGTTTTTTTAGTTTTTTAAACTATATTTAGTTTTTACTTTTTAGTTTCATGTTATGATAGTAGTTACTATCAATATCATGGTTGTTACGGGTAACGGGAAATCAGGGTTCGATTCTGGGGAGGGAGTCTGAGAAACGGCTACCACATCCAAGGAAAGCAGCAGGAACGTAAATTACCCACTCCCGGAACATGGAGGTAGTGACGAAAAATGACGATACTGGATTCATCCTTTGTAATCGGAATGAATGAGTTCTATATCTCTAAATAAGAATAAAGTGTGTTAATATATATTTTTAATAGTAATTAGAATATATATATATTTACATGTAAAGCGACTTAAGTACGTAAACGTATCATGCATTAGGTATAGCCGTGTTTTGTGGGCAGGCGGGTCGGACTAACGTTAAACCTGAGGTATAAACGGCGGTAGGAATATATACGTAAGCTGTATGCACGCGGATGATAATAGTCAGTCAAAATAAAAATTTGTTTATATATATATATAATATTGATGACACGCACGTGTGTACGGGTACAATAGGGTGCCCCTTATTTATATATGAACGATTTTTTTTTTATGAAATTCAAAGAGTGCCGCCCGGGAATTTGTTCCTATAGGTCTAAGTATAATATCTGCAAAATTTGAGCTTCATATAACATGATTAACAGGGCGCGCTCTAAGCTCAAAGTTTTAGGAAAATTCAAATTTTTGCACTTTTTTAATTTTTTTTGCCAAGTTTTTGATCTTACGGGAAAATGATAATGAGCTTTTTTGTAGACCTAGTTATTTACTACAATTAATGTTTCTAGTAATTTTTCATAAAGTCCGCGGTTTCTCGTGAAAATTAAAAAAAACTATTTATAACTTACATTTTACGAAAATTGCTCATTTTTTGTTTTTGTCAATATCTTTACAAAAATCAATCGTACAAAAAAAAGACATATTATTAATATTGTAGTAAATCATTTTTACTAAAAAATATATTATCATGCAAATTTTCATTAAGTGAACCCTTTTGGGTTAAATTAGGAAAACAAATAAAAATAACTGATTTTTGTACAATACTTCTCTTTCTAACTTCTGTTCTAGTATTGTACTCTTTAAAAGTCGAATTTTAAAAACAAGTTATAATATATTATGGGTTTTCTTATGGAAAGCATTAGCTTTTTAACATCTTTTAGTGTGGAGGTCCTGTAAAATAATGTGTTTTATTTAATTATAAAATAAATAAATAAATATCAGGTTCTAATTTTATGCATTATGTACAACATAATTGGTGTCTGAAAGGGGTTTAGACCCCATAGGCCATATTGATAGGTAAATTTCTATTAATTTATTCTTCAGTTATTCATATAAAATTGATCTTTTTTAAAAAGTGAAAACTATTATTTTTAGCTATGATGAAAAGATGAAAAGATTATACCGTAATGATTTTTTTTTGTTAAAACTTCTCAGTTTTCACTGGATCAATATTGCTGATAAGTCAAAATAACTCGATCTATTTAAAGAATTGAAAAAATTGAAAATATCCTTTAATTTTAGATATTCAAAATAATATCTCAAAATTAGACAGCCATCAAAAATAGAAAAAATATCATTATTTTTATGAATTTGTAATATATATAATACATCATTTGATATTTTATTTATTAAAATGCAACAGAAAACTTAAATACAGAATTTGAACGAGATCATTATGCATACTTATTATTTTGTTTTATTTTAATTTTTGAAAATGTTCAGAGAGGCCTGCATTCTTTAAATCTATATAATATAAATTCTTTTTAATTTTTCTTTCTATTTAAAAAAATAAAATCACACTGATAATTGTTCTAATAACAATAGTTTGTCGTGTAAGTCAAATATTTATTAGATATCTGTTAACATTTTTCAATTTTTTTAAAATATTTCTTTATAAAATAGAGCTATTGAATATTGTTTTAGTATATTTTGAAAAATGATAATAGAAATCAAAACTTTTCTATTATCAGCCATAAATAATCGCCGTTTTGAAGTGTTTTACGGTAGAGATGTTAATTATTGTCAGATATTAATCTATACTCATGTGCACTATGCCAGATCTTCATTATGCTGGGTCCAGACTGTACTGGTTTCTTTTATTGGAGGATCACAATGCGGTCCAATGTAGTTTTTATTCATATTTAATTAATAATAATAAATTCTAGCAATTCAAATTTTAAACTATGCTTTATTGTGGATATGATAGATGCAACCGACTTGTCAATTGATGTATTACAAAGAAAGTTAATGACTTGTGATTATTTTAATTATCTTAGACCTTATATTTAGGAGTAATAATGCACCCAGAGATGAACAAGGCTTTGGATAATGTTGGCAGCGCCGATCGGTACTCCAGTTCACCTGTTCCCCGCGTTTGTTCTAGCCGCGCAACCGTTCGAGAAACCACTCCATGTGAGTAGTCTTTCGGTTGCCTTCGTGTTGTTTGGTTTATGGCTCGGTTCGTTCAAATTTTTGATGGCGATTTTATGTTTGAAATTTTAAAGTTAACGTGATAATTAAAAAATCAAGAAAAATATTTTTATGAAGTTTATATCAAGTGAATATGCGATTTTGAGTGTAAAATTTTTAAATTTTGGTGTGAAGTGTTTTAAAAATGTGTTCATGACTACATTTTTTGTAAGTGTTCAATTTAAATAATTCTACAGTATAGTATGTGGATTTAACCGTTGTTTTAATATCGGTAAGCTCTTTTTTTTTCTATCAAATAAACAGGTTATACATTTCAAATTAATAAGTAACGTGTAAAAGTTCAATTTGCATTTGGGTTGTTGATAACAACAAATAAAATATTTATAATTAACAAAAAATACCTGATTACTAAAAATTTACAAACTTGTTTATAGTTTTGTGTTAAAATATCAATGAAAAGTTAATTTAAATGCCTATATCAGTTTATTAAATATGCATTGACTAAACAATATATATATTTTTTAAGTTTGAAGTCTTTGTAGCGATTTCTTTTCAATTTTATAAATTGTTCAACTTTAGTAAATTAATTTTGCTATGAAAATTGCAAAAAATTAACTATAGTTTTATTAAGTATTATTAATTTATACAGAAAATTATTTAAAATAAGATAATATTTCTAATGATGTTGTGAAATAAAATATCCCAGTATCAGGTTTTAATTATTATAAATGGATTTTGCAGAACAAATAAATTACGTGCTGGATTTTAGGAAAATATTTTTTCTTCTTAACTATATTATTACATTAATTAATATATACATAATTAAATATTACAATATTAAATAAGGCTAAAAAAAACTTTTAATGGCCAACATTTCGATATCTTTTATATTGTTAACACTGTTGTTATTGTAGGTATAGGTGTTGTACTTTTTAGGTTTCAATTAAAATGGGTTTAAAATTGATTAAGTAAATAGGTAAATTAATCTTAATGTATATTATGATTGAGTGAAACAAACGAAGAATTAACTGAAGTTTTTAATCTGAATTATGGATAATTTAGTTTATATAGTTTACAAAGTATTATTGTATAGTTGCCCAAAGTTTTGTAGTCCTAAGAAAAATGTTTATTGTTATAATCGAGTATAACAAGATAATTTCATATTCAAAAATAGTCCCAGTTATTCAATTAGTCGATAGCTAATCGAACTTCATCACTTATAAAATATAACACTTTTGTATCAGGTTTACCTGTCTGCAATACATGTAAATTGTACAAGTACACTACTATTTAATCTTTGACTAATTAATTGATCATAATTAATCTTATTCGGTTGATGGTCGTAAAACTAACTGTAAAATGCATTAATGAGGTTTTTCTAATAACAACTTGTTAGATAGAAGAGATATGATAGTATGTACTCGTGATTAAATTACTATTTTCTCGTCTGATCTTTTGATTGAAAAGTCATTACAACTTTACAATATTATTACATACAATAGATATATTTTCACGCCCTACTGCAACGATTTGAGATTGTACATCGTGAGGTATCTTGAAACCCAAGGTACACGTTTATATATCAAATTCATAATATTTAACTGTGTTCTACACAGGCAATCGCCGACTTCTACTTCAATTCCGGAATTTAATAGCTGGTTTTGTTTCAAGACATCCATTGTTGTTATGGCCGTCTAGTGTGAACATACTGAAACGTTACCAAGGTTAATATTTGATGGACGATTAGGTGAATACGGATAAGTTAATTGTGATTATTATATATAACTACATACTTTAGTAGCTAAAATGAAAAAATAGTAAAACGTGGTTTAAAGATTTTGTTAGATTTCGAACGTAAGATTTCGTTGTTTAAACGTTGAGGTGATTCCACTCACAATATATAAAATTTATCATAACTAGAAGCCGATTTGAAATTATTCATTTTTGAAAATTTTTATGTTTTTAAAAGTATTATTATAACGTTATTTTTTATCGTAAAAAATTTTTAGCGAATAATATATTTATAAATACTATTGGAATAGATATTTCTTCACGATACTGAGTGATGTTTTAACAATTCGGTTCAGTGCGTTTTCCTTAACAATTTATATTTTAGTTATAATTGTTACAAATCAGTTTAAAATAACGAAATTTTATTATTATTTTTTTAATAGTACATAACATAAGCAAATTAAAGGATAAGCTTTATTTAATATGTCAGTGAAATTATTTAAATATAAATATATAATTACAAGTGTCAAAGTTGCAAAATATTTTTGGCATATTTTGATATTTTTTCAAATTTTTTGAAATATTATCTCATTTACAAAAACAAATTTACAAAGAAACACTTCTTTTATAATGGCTTAGGTTGTATTAATATCATATTTTATTACTTGCATGGGAAAAATACGTGCAGTATTTAAAGTTCATTATGTTATTGCCTTTAACATATTTTTGCATTAATTGAATATTTAATTATAAGACAATTTTTTAAATTTTACAAAATAGTGGATTATATTAAAATATTATTTACTTTTGTTTTATAAACGTATATATAGAAGCACACATAATAAATTACTGTGTAGGTTTTTATAGCTAGACTCAATTATTTTTATTAAAAGGGCTTAAAATATTAGAAATTTGCATAAGTAAATTCATTTTATTTAATGATAGTTATTAAAAACCATTTCATAGTAGTAGCTGAAAACTAAAGATCTGGGTTTTGAGTATTAATTTTGATAAATGTTAAAGCATTTTTAGTAGCATCCATAGCATATTTTTTTGAAAGCTTAAGAACAAATTATTGTTGTTAGTTATTATAATGATGAATGTAAATTGTCATTTGAGATCATAGTTTATATCAAGTATAAAGTGGTCTTCGCTCATTCAACTTAAACAAGATGTAACATAATTTTCATGAACTAGGTGACAGCTATAACTTATGAACGCTTTAGAAAATTGTTGTGGTTCAGTCATAAGTCAAGAGTTTCATAAATATGTTTTATCCGACAAAATAGATGGTTTGCTCGCATACTTACGGTAATTACAAAACAATAATTATAGTCACAGACCGAAAGTGTTTTCTGTACAACAATCTATCCAATATATACCTATATCGCCAATTGATAGGCACCAGATAACTCTTACACGTGACGCTATTGCTGCATTGAGACTCATACGGCATAAATGATGGCGTGTGCGCTAATGTCCACGAACCAAACGGCCTCACCTTCGACCACGTAGGAATCCGAAGGCAGTAGTGGCTATGTATTTATTGTTGTGTTGGAATTCAATAGTTTTTGGATAGTAGTCAAACTCTAGTTCACTTTAAGTTTACTATTATCTTTACTATACATTCAAATAATCCTAATTTAAGTACAGAAATAAGAAAAAACATTGTTTCAGATTTTAAAAGGCTTTTGGTTTGCTCTTTTATTTGTAATCTCAGAATATTGGTCCATTTATTTTGCGTTTAGATTTAAACTGAAAGTTCTTGGGAACTTCAACAATATTGTGACAAATTAGTATAACTCGGACCAATTAAGAACATGACTTGGAATTTGGGTATTATAACTTGTACGGCTTACAAGTTACAATGTAGATAGTACGTACCGGGTACTATTATTTTACAGAATACAATTGCCAGAACACTACACAATATTAAAGTGTATATATTATAAATAAGCAGTGTATACACAAATTTCTCTGTGAAAAGTATGAGTCATTATGAATTTTTAAATTTAGGTGCCCTATCTTTACTGTGCTAATCCTTGAATGGTTTACATTATACGCAAATTATCATCAAAATTATGTTCTTCATGTGTTATATATTGGATTTGTACTATTAATAAGTGTTAGTTGAAAACGACGAACTTTACTAATAAATTTGCCTACACGCCCTCTGCTTTTTTGGTGTATATTGTATTTTGGTTAAACATTTCCTAGTGCAATAAGTTTGTATAATATTTTAGTTGGTATCATGCTGTTAGACTTTATCTCGTTTAAAATACTTCAAAAAAATATCTATTGCTTTAAAAAATTACAAATAAGTTACAATTGTTGGTTGAACTTTTTATTTTAATTTTCAAATATTAAAAACACTTTAAAAAAATACAATATAAAGAAAACAAGTTATTTATTTTTTAACTATTTGAATTCTATAAAAATAAATTATTAAAAAAACTTTAAGCTATAGTATTTTGCTAACATTATGCTTATATAAAACAAATTTAAAGATTATTTAAATATAAAAGAGTTTTTTATAGGATTAAGTACTCTTTTGAGTATGGGTAAAAATTTGATTATAATCAGACTTAAAATTAAAAATTATTCGATTGAATATAATAATGACATAACTTATATTAATTTAAATTATTTTTTTAATTTTGTACTAATTTTAAAGAAAATATTGCAAAATCTGTGTGAGAAATTCAGGTTTTTGAAAATTATTTATTAGTAGTCACTAGAGCTTGTGGAAAAAAATTGTTGAAGTGTTGTTTTGAGTGCATTGGAACTTCTAAAATACATAATAAATATGCAGAGGAGCGTGCCACGTAGTGCATTGTTATAGTGTAGACATAAAGGCTAAAAATTATTTCTACCATGCTCTCTGATATAATGCAAAATGAACTGAAACAATGGTTCATATGATATTTTGCAAGTTATTGCCATATATTTATACAAAATATAAGGAAACTGGTGTCAATTATTAATGCGTAAGTTTTCCTTTGTCCTAAATTATTATGCCAGGTCCTTAACATTATTTTTTTCGCAAAATTACTAGTAAAATAGAATAATTATTTATTTTTAAAAGTTTAATAAATGTTTATCTAACAATATAATAGACAATAGTATTTTGATAGAAGAATAAATTATTTTTATTAAATTTATTTAATGTAAGTTTTAATAATTTTTTATCTATTTAAATAGAGTATTTGAGAAGTATTTATTAAGCATAATTTGTTATACAGAATATTGACTTGATATATCAATTCTATGTTAACATAGGAATACAATGCAAAATATTAAATATTTATTCAAGAATTTGAAATTTATATATTGATTTATTTAATCTCAATAACATTCTTTTATCCCGTCCGTCATTTTTTTAGATTTTCATCTTATTCGAGTTCTAATCGACCAGCTTTTATATTGATTGTTATTTTTAGCAAATTTAAATTTACTTTCTTACTTATAAAGAAACTGTTTATTGAATACGTTATTTAATTAATAATTATGTTAAATAATTTAGTAAATAAGATTTAAAAT